GGGGAGGAGATAAGTCCTGCCACTTTGGACCACCCTTAGGCGGATATCTTATAGAACTTTATGATGTTTGAACGATTATGAGATCCAATAGAAGTCAGTGAAAGAGAATAAACTCTTTAGCATTTGTTAAGAAAAGAGAAAAGGGGAAGCTAACAAGTTTGGATTTTAGTGGTCTAAGGGTGGAGGTAAAGAAGAAAGAAACAAAACAATCCTCTTTACCTTTCTTCTTCGCTGGCGCTGCTCCTGTTGCCACCGCACAGGGTTATAGAGAAAAAGCATACAGAAGATCTACCCTGTCTTGAGATGATTTCTTATTTCTTCAATTTCTTCCGAGTTGTTTGTAAATATGGCTGTATAAGTTGACATTTTCTTTCAATTTCATGGGAACAAAAGAGGTGGATATTGCTGTTCCAATCAAGATTGTGCCTCAATTGGTGAAAAGTGTCAGATGGAAAATTACCTAATTGCTGAAACTGAAGGGGGTCTTATTGGGGTTGGACCAAACAAGATGTTAAAATTCAAGTGAACATCAAAGAAGTAAGGAGGGCTTAGTTGTGTCTTGTTGTTGCTTTGGGTCATAGTAGTAAGGGTGGCGCATTCAAGGGTGGAATTGGATTGAAGTTTTAATTCTTTTTTTAGTCTATGTTCGGGCTTGGTTGTTTGTCTTGTGGTGCAGGTTTGTTTTAGCGAGTTCTTCATTTCCTCGTGTTTCAGATTGTGGATTTCTCAGGTTTGTTCCTTTTGGGTTTGTAGTGTGGATTTCTTTTTGGTAAATTTGGAACAATCGATGTAATAATGGAGGAGCTAGATCTATTGCACTATTCCCCTTTCCAAATGGAAATTCCTTTGTTTTTGTAAGCAGTGAGGGAGCTCGACTATAGTGTGGTTCTTTTGTGGGATCTGTTTTCTTGCCTTGTTTATCTCTCTCTCTTGACTTCTAGTCACTCTCCTTGTATCTTCTCTTTTTGTTTTAATAAAATCTTTTTATTTTATTACCAATAGAATAAATAAACAAGAAAGTGTAGGAGATCTGCGCCCATTCAGATCTAAGGATCATTGTTCTTTTGATTTTGCTTTTCCATTCAATGATAATTTTTTTTTTTTTTTCCACTTTCTGGATTTATTGTTTCTGTTTAGTCCTATGATCAGCAAGCCAGCTTATTTTCTTCTTGGATCCAAGGAAAAACTCAAGCTGCAAGCCATAAGAAATCAAGGGTAGCGAATTTCTATCTGTCCAATTCTTTATCTTCTTTTACTAGTAGTCTTTTTCTTTAATTTGTTCTTTGCTGACAATTGCTCTGCAATACTTATACTTAAATGAGCCAGGCCATAATGAGGTTGCTCTGGCTCATAACTGTAGTAAGATGCCCTCTGTTCAATCATTATGTGTCCCTTGCAAACAGGGTCTGGATTCACAATTAAATACATCTCACCTGATTAAGTGATTAAAAATCTGCACAAAACAGCTCTGACACTATATTGCCAATTTGGGGTGCAGTGAAGAGAAACTTGTGGAACCTTAATGGGACCCAGTTTATATATTATAAGCTTTAATTGGGATCTTTGGAAAAAACTGTTTGGATAGGGGGTTTATTTTAAAGAGCATCTAAAAGGAGATTTTAAGATATATATTAGGATGCATTTTGAAAATGTATGAATACAAGGAAATGATTATGATATGCATGAATACACTAGGGCAAATTGTATTAATACCAAAGTTGCATCGATATTTGAGGCTCAAATTGATACAAATAAGGCATAAATGCATGAATATTACAAAATTTTAATTGACTTTTTTCTTGCAGGACCCACTATTTTATATTCTAGTGAACCAGTGTCTACCAAACCACTTCACCCTTGAAAACAGTGCTCAATCTGCTGGTACCAATCACATTGTCTTTACTAAAGAAATCTGTTGCAACTTCCAATTCCTTTTGATTGGGTCTCTTCTGGATAGGGGAGATCACAAATATCAAAAGTATAAGAACAGAAACAGATCCAAGAACTATCAAAATTAAAGCAGATAAAATCACAAATATCAAAAGCATAAGAACAGAAAGTTTGGGGGGCCAAGGACCCCCACCAATATACTTGGCTCCGTCCTTAAGCCTATCTTAACAACTAGAACCGAGTAAGCTTGCCACCCAACAACATGGTCAATTCTGCCTGGTTTACAATTAAAAGCCAATCCGAATTCTTGTTCGATCCATCAAAATTTGCGAAATTTGAACTTTATCTTATAAATATTGCTTTATTGCACATGCAACTAGATTTCATGGAAGTTGTTTTTAATGTTGAGTGCCCGTTTGGGTAGTTAGGTTTGGTGAAAAGTCTCAAGAGCCAAATCAGCTGTCGACCAGCTAATTGAAGGGCTCTTATTGTATAGCTTACGTTGACCATCTTGCCAAGATTATCTACCTTCTCTGACTTGTTAGTGTCCGCTTGTGAGGGTTGAGTTGAAGATTAGCTAAGCTGGTGCAGCTGCTATGAAGCACTCCGGAGCGAGATAAGCTATCATAGAGGCTGAAGTGGACAGCCTTTCAAATGACTAATGACAGCCGATATGGGCATGTAGAGCCCACCTCAGAAAAGCTGAATCAAAGCTTATCTTCAGCTCAACCCTTACAGTCCCAGACCTTTTGGTGAGTGGAAAGTGGGAAGGGCATGGCCTTTGATTTGAGGGGCAAGATTTACTGGGCCGCTGTTCTGGCCCTTTATGCTCTCTCTCTCTGGCTACCTTTCGTCGAGCACTTGCACTGTTGCACAACTTTACTCATACTTATAAACTTGCACTTGCACTGATAAGTCCTAGAGCCTCTTCCGCTTTGATGAATTTATCAGCCTCCTCAAGGAATTCCCCCATAGTACTCGGGGGGTTCAACTCAAGGTGCCAATGCAGATCATGTTGGCGTACTTCTCTTTTGGCTGCGACGAGCTGCACGGTGGGGTCGAGATTTGGAATATGCAACCTTTCTGAGTTAAACCTCTTGATGTAGTTTCTCAGCGTCTCCTTTTCATTTTGGTTATGTTGAGGAGGCTCGTCATCGACTTCGGGCAAATCTTGATGGTGGTGAAGTGAGCTGTGAAGAGGTCGACGAACTGCTTCCAGCTCTTAATCAATCTTGGAAGCAAAGTCCGGTACCACAGTCTCGCTTCTTCCTTCAAAGTTATAGAAAAGGCCATGCACAAACTAGCTTCGTCAGCTCCTACGAGCAGCATCAGGAACTGGAAGCTATCAACATGGTTATTGGGATCCGTCTTTCCTTTGTAGATCTCCAGGGTCGAGGTCTTGAAACCTTTTGGCATCGGGGCCGAAAGGATCTCCAATGCTAGAGGGGAAGGCCGGCTCAACAAAATGGGAGCCGGTTGTGCAACTACTGAGCTCACTTCTTCCCATTGTCTCTCTTCTATGGTCGTTGGGGGAACAATGCTCTTTCCCAAGGTGCGGCGTGCTTTGCGATGACGTCACTTCTTTACCGCTTCTTGGTTGGTGTTGTTGACTTCAATGTTGGCTGGTGTTTCAGCCCGAATGTTCTCCTGATCTCGGACACTGCCATGAGGTGGAGGAGGCTAGTCTTTGTTGCTGACATTCTCACGAAGAGGGCAGGGCGTTGGCTGTTGTGGGGAGTAGAGGGGTCCCAAACAGGGTCCTCGCCTCTTACCCCGAGCTGTTGATTACTGACCTGAGGTTTTTGGTGCTCGTAACGCAATCGCTGCTGCTGATCGGTCTTGCTCTGTTGACTGCGTTGCGACTGATTCCTTTCATCCACCACCTTCTGAGGTGGTGATGGACGCCGACCTGCTTCTGGATCCCGAGGTGGGGTTGGGCCGCGAGGAGTTGGGACCTGAGACGGCCCTATACCCCAGGGAGGAGACCGGTGTACGTATGCCGGTTCTGGGTCTAATTCTGTTGAAGGGGAGGGAAGTGTTGCTTGTAGTAATAGCATTGCCGGTACTGCTGGATCTACTGCATCTAAAGCTGCATGACCCGAACACTCTGCACGAGCTCATGGAACTGTTGTGCTTCTATCCTAGGAGGAACCACAGATTGTTCAGCGACTAGGATGCCAACGCTCACATGAGGCAAGGGTGCGCTAATTGACTGGGTAACAAACGTCTGGCTCTGGACTGCCGAAACCCCCAAAATGGTGAGGGGGATGGTGAATGGACCGATGGTCATTGAGGGGATTTCTGGGTTGAATGCAGGTGGGTCCTGCCCCCTAGTGACGCTAATCTCAATGCTCTTTCCGGTGTTGCTGGATGGTGCCATTAGTAATATGCTGAGAGAAAGTGATTAGGGTAGGGACTTAGTTGCTCCTAGCTAGAGGGTAGCTCAGACTTTGGTTGCTTAGATAGTCGGTCGAATTGCAAGGAAGTAGGGCTTAGAGGACCCGATGTGGGTGCTTCGATGCTTAAGTTAGTATTTTAGCGTATGCAAGCTGAAAGCTTAAGAGTAAGAGAACTAGAATGCACTAAATCACGCGTACCTTGTATCACTAGGGCAGGTGCCTTTATATAGATGAGTTGTTGTGGGCCTCATGAAACACCTCTGAGATCCTCGGCCCACGCTGTTAGGAGTCCGTTCTGCACTAGGAGGTGGACTTCGTGCTAGACAATAAGGCTTATCGTGTCTGTCCGATCCAGTTGGGATGAGGATAAGACCTAAGGGCGTGCGGCGTGATCCCGTGAAACTTGGAGACAACTGGCTAGCTTCTAGAAGTTGGCTACATGTAATTTCAGCAGTTTGAGGCACCATGAGCCGCTCGGACCTCGGTCCTGACCAAGGTGACCTATCCTGTTGATGTGGCAGAAAGTGCTGAGTCGAAGCCCAATCAACGCCTCCACGTGTCCATGCATTGTGTTCGGCCAAATCACCCCTCATCATAAGGTATCCTTTTAATGCTTATAAAATAAAAAATAAGAAAAATAGTAGAATATCGATCATATCCATATGCACCA